GAGTTTCCCACACTTGAAACACTTCTTATCATTACTTTTGCAATCCACATGGCCGAGTTTCCCACACTTGAAACACTTCTTATCATTACTTTTGCAATCCACCATACGATGTCCTGTCTCACCACACTTGTAGCACTTAATGGAAGAACTAGAATCTCCTCCACCAAACTTCTTCCAACCACCGGGTCTCTGATTACTTCTATCATAAGGCTTACCACGATCCATCTGTTGCTTACCCTTCCTATCAACATACCATCGAGCATTCGACTTAGTGCTAGAAAGATCCTCCTCTAAAATCCTACTACAGTCAATCAGATCAAGAAATCTTCGGATACGCTGATACCGAATACCCTGCTTAATCTCATCACGAAGACCATTCTCAAACTTGATACATTTGGAAAATTCTCCATCTGCATCGTTAGTATAATGAGCATAATACTTCGCTAACTCAGTAAACTTCGAAGCATACTCACTGACAGTCTTGTTACCCTGCTTGAGTTCCAGAAACTCAATCTCCTTCTTGCCTCTGATGTCCTCAGGAAAGTACCTCCTCAGAAAAGCCCTCCTGAACACAGCCCAAGTCAACGCAATACCATCTTCTTCCATTTCAGTTCTGGTAGCAACCCACCAGTCATCAGCTTCCTCTACTAACATGTGAGTTCTGTATCTCACCTTCAGCCTTTCAGCACAGTCAATTACTCTGAAGATCCTCTCGATCTCCTTCAACCACTTCTGAGCACCTTCGGGATCATGTGCACCCTTGAACAACGGAGGATTATTCCTCTGAAAATTCCCCAATTGTCGGTCAACACCAATAACAGCTCCCTGCTGGTTCCCTCCGAGTACTCCAGCCAACATTCCCAATGCTTCAGCAATAGCATCATTGTTTCTTCCGTTACCTCTTCCGGCCATTGTTCTTGTAACATTACAAAACAACCTCATCAGCACACAAGTATCGACAGTGTCATCTTACACTAGTCGCATACAAAAGGGATAACGACACAAGACAAGACCGACTATGCTCTGATACCACTATTGTAACACCCCTTCTAAAATACCCCGAATAATATTAATTATATCAATGATTAAAGACATATTTCATCAGATTTAACACGGAACAAGGGATGTCACAATTATGAAATAAATAAAACTTCCAATAAAACAGTAGTCATGCTACACTGAGGGTCATTATTCAAATAATTCAATCAACTTAAGACCATGTCTTACACAGCGGAAAAATACCATAACCAAAACGGAATAAACCAAAACATAATTATTTCCAATGAAATTCAAAGAAACAATTGAATAATAACTAATTCCTCAACTAAACGTTCCTCAGTGTTACAACCTATCAGAGCACGACACTGACACGCGGACTTAAAGTAACATAGCTCTAGAGTCATCCTCACCAACTCCTGAGCTGCTAACTTTAATCTGAAATTGTTAAAGTAAGGGTGATATTTCTCATAATTAACATGCATTATAAGCTTCTCAATCAACATTATATCACAAGCATATTATTTCACCCATTTTAGCATAAATTCAGATTCAACACGCAGTTCCAATCATACAAGTCATTATGCACAAATCAATAATCAACCAAAGAATTGTAACACTGGAAGACATCCTAACATGTTACAATTCCATGCAAACACAAATGCAGACACAATGCATGTGGTACCAACACGTGACCAAGTCACCCAACACTGATCCATCATCAACCGGATACAGCAACCATCGATTCGTCCATAAACACCCGGACACGAATCCAGCCTAACCACCCATCATCACCCGGGTATCGGTTAACGGCAATACAAGTCAAATTCCACACAATATGAATTAACTTCACCAAAATAATGCATATGCACGCACATCACTAACATGCAACATCAAATCAGTCTATGAAATACATCAATTTATCATAACTGAACCAAAACCAAAAACATGATATCTCAACGATCATGCACACCATCATTAGCAACATAAACATACCTTTCATTCACACAATACTAATACATCCATCCATCACAGGTTCACTGCTACATACACACCCATGTGCGTTAGCCAATAATCACTTATTCCGGGATTTGACTCATTTTCAAAATAATTTCAGGTGTTAGGAAATCTTTTCATTTTATAAAATAGAGCATTAAATTTAAGAAATAACGTTCAAAACGGCACTCAAAACGGACTTACGGTTTGAAAGTTATGAATTTTCAAAGTTTAATATTTTTCAAAAGTTACAGCAGAACCCGGTTCCTACATATGCAGGAACCGGTTCCTGCGAAGTTCAAAAATCACGCTTCTGGAAAAATGTATGGGAACCTGGTTCCTACCTATACAGGAACCGGTTCCTACGTGCATTTTTGCCAGTTTTTATAAATTCACACCGTGGAACCCGGTTCCTTCCCACTGGGAACCGGTTCCCACGACCTGCAGAGTCAAATTCTGCACTTTTGACAGCATTTATTCATTCTAAACCAATTCCAAACATACTCATACGAATTGCAACATGAGAAACACCAAAACACATCCATTTTGCATCATTATAACATCAAACAACATTATTTTATCATTCCTTTTTATCATCTGACACCCTAATGGTTTTCAACCTACAATTCGACGCAATAGGGACAATTCTACGGAACCATAGAATTCCAAACCGGGATTCCCTAACATACTATGATTCATACTATTGAATATCTAAACCGATAATACGAATTAACTAATCGAAATCACCCCTTACCTTGTGGGTTCTTCGAATTCTGACGCTTCCGGTTTTCTCCTTCTTTTTCCTCTTCTCAAATGCACGTATGATGAATATTCCAAAATAACTCTCTTTCTCTTCTTTTTCCTTTTAATACTCCTTTTATTATTCCAATAAAATAATTAAATTAATAATTAGTAAGAGTAGAGTATTTTACCCCTCACACCCTCTAATCACTCTTCACACCACCAATACTTCTTTCCTTTAATTAATTAAATTAATTCCAATAATCCAAAAATACCAATAATTAAATTTCCAATTAAATTAATAATTAAAAATTCTAATTATTTAATAATCGGATTATTTGGGGTGTCCAGCCTCTGCTTAGCCAACTGAAAGTGACCCAACTGATGGCACTTATAACATTCAATGGTTGCCTTGCTATAGGGTTTCCAGCCTCTGCCTCTTCTGCCCCTTCCTCCTCTGAAAGCTCTGCGGCTGCCTCGTCCTCTTCCACCATTGTTCTCACCGTATGCCACTGTGAGTGCTTGCTCTTCATCTACTTCCTTCTTGAATTTTTGCTCGTGCACAAGAAGGGAGCTTTGCAACTCGTCGACAGTAAGTGTGTCCATATCTTTGGCTTCCTCAATGGAACACACAATATAGTTCCACTTTTCAGTGAGGGTTCTCAAAATCTTCTCGACGATCTTGACATCAGTCATATCTTCACCACAATTCCTCATATCGTTCGCAATCACCATTACCCTACCGAAGTAATCATTGATTGATTCTCCTTGCTTTATGGCAAGGATCTCAAACTCTCTGCGCAATCGATTGAATTGGGTTCGCTGAACTCGAACATTGCCCTGGTATTTCATCTTCATTAAATCCCAGATTTGTTTCGATGTTTCCTTCTTTGGGATTGTCTTCAAAATTGACTTGTCAAGAGATTGAAACAAGTAATTCTTGGCTTTCAGGTCCTTCAGCTGCATCTCTTCCACCGTCTTTCTCTGTGCAGCCGTCGGCACTTCTCCTGCAACGGGTTGAACGAGGCCTGTGGTCACAACAATCCAATACTCCTTCAAACGGAGAAGGTTCTCCATGAGCATGCTCCAGTGATCATAATCACCATCAAATTTAGGAATTGATGGTAGATTAAAACGATCGTCGCCTTCGGACGCCATCTGCTCTTTCTCTCTTGATTCTTGTGAAATTTTCAGCTCTGATACCAGATGTTAGAATCAAATGCTGGAAAACTTACTTAATTAAATAAGAAAAAGCCAATAAATAAGCTTACACAATATCACACGATCTCCCTAACTGCCCATTATATGTGGAGTAGTTTATTCCTTCCTAAAATCTAGGTGATGACTTTGACTGAAACAATAAAATAGCTAACAATAAGCTGACACATTCTAATGTGCTGCAATACTTAATTTAATTAAAATAAATATCAAAATATTAATCTTAACCGTTTTAATGTTGGAAATTAAATTTTCAATAGTACAAGAGGGACAATCACACCACCTAAGTTCTACATATATTTAAATATTAAGTGAAATTAAAAATATTAAAACTCAAACTAACAATAAATATAAAATAATATGTAATACATTTATTTAGATCCGAAACAATGTGTAAGATCCGAAATAGCAGAAAAAGAGAAAAACAACCACAATAAACAAACCTAAAAATAAACATATTATAAAACAAATAGAAGAATATTTCAACCTGTTCTTTATATTCCATCCAATATAACATGCCTCTTAGCATTCCAGTCGAATGATTCAAACACAACATAGCAGAAAAGCTGCTTAGGTACTACTAGTGTATATTGCTTTCTTCTTCATTTTTCATCCTCCTATTTAGAAATCATTTGCTTTGATTTCTTATCTTATTTTATTTCTAACAATAAATGTTACATTCTTTTCTTAGTTTTCAAATATATATAGTAAAACAATAAAGAAAATTCATTTGTTACTCTTTGAAAGTAGTAACATGCAATCAAAGATTTTAAATAACTTGTCCCGTTCGCACTGCGGTCGCATAAACTTTCGCGAGTTTGGTCGGTAGAGTGACATTGATTATGATAGTGGCAGTGTGAATTTATTCTTCATCACAAAGACAGCGAATAACAGTATCTGCATTGACATTTTCCAATACCGTTAACAAAGATCCTTAGTGCGATCTAAGTCGCGATAGATACAAGAAATCATATATTTATAACCATGTGTTTATGCAGACGAGGTTGAAGAAAGAACAAAAAGAAGAAAAAGTGCACCAAAACAAAGAAATGGACCTCTACACTATTATAAAGGTATAAGTGTCAAGCTGTTAATTGTTCAATTTATATTTATATCGGTAACATATAATACTTGTTAGGTGGCAAAAGAGGAAGATCTTGCAAAACAGATTGGAGAGGAGGTTTATTTTGATCTTGTAGACTACAAAAACGTGACATGTTTTCGTGTTCTAAAGACGACGACATTTAACTTTTTCAAGGTATCATCATCAATTACACTCTTAGAGAGAAAGGTAGGCTTTATCATGTTGTAATGAATTGCATGCAATGCTAATGGATAAGTTATTATTATAGGGTAGCCACCAAGAATATTTGTACTTTAGTTTTCTTTAATAGGGGCAAAGAAAATTGTTAAAATATTCAAAAGATGTGTTATGATTATGATTTTTCTGTTTCAATGGCTACTATATGATATGTAGGAAGAGGCTGCTAAAACGTTCCGCATACCAGCTGCTTTACAACGCTATTGGATATTGGCAAACCGTCAAAATAAGACATGTCGTCCATATCGGCCATTGACACGCTTTGAAGAAGAAGGAACTGTAAATTCATAGGATCTCTTATATCTTTAAACTTTATGATATATATAACAATTGCAACTGGTTTTCATATTGATTGTGTTGGATTGCATAGTTTTGATTTCTCTATGTTCTGATTCAAATTGCAGGTTGGAGAATTCAAAGTGTTAAACAAAGCTATCAAATTCGAAATGAAAATGTTTTTGGAAGTGGAGCGTAGGCCGACACCGGTAACATTGAAATTTTGATAGCGTGAAACACCTTCCCAAGTAGTATTGTTGACGAACTATATTATTTTATAGGATTCATATCCCTTTGCAATACCGGTTGCACTACCCGAAAAGGGAAAGGATGATATATTACTCTTTTTCAAGTTATATGATCCTGAAAAAGAGAGGCTCTGGTACTGAATAGTTTCTTGTGTGATTTATCGTGCATTGCGGTAAGAGGTGAACCATATAGTTGACATCAAATGTGTTTTTCGTTCTATGACAGTTATATTGGAAAACTCTATGTGAACTGTTATCATAGGCCAACAAAAATTTTAAAAAATTTAAATAGATTGGCTGGTAATGATCCTAACGAAGACATTCAACTTTACGAGGTTGGTTTGTATTGTCTGATTAATTTAAACTTTTTTATGCATCCTTGAATTATATAGCGTTACTAAGTCGATTACGTCTTTGTTGTTGTTCAGGAGATTAGGTTTGAACCAAATGTCATGTGTGTGCCCGTTAACATAAGACTGACATATCTAGAAAGTGAGGTATAGTACATGCCAAATTGATGCGCAGCACACTAACGCTAAATTACTGCAATATTGATTTTCTTATTGACTTGTTTTTCCACTAATGCAGTTACAAAATGGTGATATTTTATGCTTTCAGAAAGCTTCTGCGATTTTTAATAATAAAAACAATTTGCGCTACCCTGATGTGCCTTCTTACTTAGAATATGTGCACAATCGCCAGGTATTTTTTCCGATGTTTAAATATAGGTAATTAGTTTACTCTGATGTAATGCAAAGAATCAAATGAAAGATATTGGTTTAATCTTTATCTTGTTTAGGTTATTTTATCTCCCTCAGTTCAAAAGCCGAGTGAAACGGAAAGTGATACCGAAGCCAGAACTTCAAAATTCATTAGCACAAACTTTAAAGAGATTGACGATATGATTGATGAGAATGCGGTTGCTGCAATCGACAGAGTTTTATCAGAAGGGGTTACCATTTCATTACAATACCAACCTTCTTTCGAGGGACAAGTTATCTCGGAACAAGATCCCAACTTCCCTAAACTAGTTCTTCGAGAATTGAGAGACATTGCCTTTAAAGAAGACTTGGTTGAAAAATTTAAAAAAGGTTTCATCGTAAAAGTTGACATCAATGCAGTCAAGGAAAGAATCGAAGCGAATGCTAAGCTCTTCTCCTCTTCGCAATTAGAACAAGTCAGAGTTGTGGTTAATGTCGTCAACAACATTGTGAGAATGTTCGACAAGCTTGAAATTTTGAAAAAACAGCTAGACTCGACTATAAAGAACAATGAACAAGATAATGAAGCACTGAAGAATACAAGAGAGCAAATATTGATGTTAAAGGCTTCTTTTCCGGACCAACATACAGAACTCGAATCTCTTGATGCGCAAATCGCTGATCTTAAAGCCAAACTTGGAGAACTAGAATGTGATAGGGCCAAAATTATTGAGACTCAAGATCAACATAGAGATAAGATCACATCAATGAACAAAGAAGTTAGATCAATTTTCCATCACCTTGCTGATGGTCAAATAAAGTTGAAAAGTATTGAAAATGAGATACCGGAGACAGAAGCTGAATTGGAAAGTCAGGAAAAAGCCTATAGCATCTTAAGGGCAACCCCTCCGTTTTGATTAATGTATTTCATTGGTCTTTTTGGAAACTGATAGGTTCTGATTAAGTTATGTTTTATGTTTTTTAATATGTTTAGAGAATATTATAGTTAGTTAGAGTTTTAGTTTGAACACTAATCTTATGTTACCTTTATTTTGCATAAGACTTTTAAATTACATTGTAGTAGCCATAATGAGATTACAGCAATGGTGGTTCAGAGTGTTAATTAGGAATTGATTTATTTACTTTCCGATATATAAATTTGATAATAGAATATTTATAATTATAATTTGTAATTACGTGTAATTGTTGATGCTATTATATATAGTATGGTATGCAATAGAAAAAGGAAGTAGTCAATTTTCATGACATGGTATCATAAGGGTTCGATCAAACTTGTAAATTCCTGTTATCTTGGCTGAACACCGACACTCCACTGGGTTGCCTCGAAATCGTGTTTCTCGTTCGTATTTCTCTCGAAATCCTTTCGTCATCAATTAAAAGTTTTCGGTTGTTGTCTCGTGATTTCGTCGTTGTTGCTTGATAAGTGCAAATTGTAGCTATTTTTGTATATGCTTTTTGTTGCACTTATCGACTTTTTGTTGTTAATATCGTTAAATAAACCTGACTTTTGTATAAATACATTTAGTTTGTGTTTATTTGTGTTTTTGTATACGTAAGGTACCGTTTGATGTTTTTCCATTCATTTTGTAGGTATTGATGCGTATTTGGAACATGAGCAATAAAGTGTCGAAGACACGGCTTCAAACGCGTGATTTTGAGCAACTCGTCAACGAATAAGGCTCAAAATCAAAGAATAAAAAATCATCAATTTGGTTTATATTTTGTCATTGTTAGGAAGAGCATTGAATAAGCTTTCCAATGCTTCGAACCGGACGCAAAGCGGAGTTACGGTTCAAAAATTATGACCGAAACAGTGCATAATATTGTGCTGATTTTTCAACCTTCTGTCATCCGTCGTCGGACGACGCTAGGCGAGCTGTAGCGTGGGAAAAACGTTGTTTTGGTCATCGGGCGACGCTTTTTGGTCGTCGGGCGATCCTGGACAGTCAGAAATGCATATTTAGGTGTAAAAATACATTTTTTGGGTATGGTTTTGGGTATTTTTTATCCCAACTCCATCAACTTTTATTTTTGGATAGGATTAGCTTAGAAAACAACATTGAAGCTTGCATACGGATGATCCGAGGTGGATTGCTCATCAATCGGCGCTGACAAACCAGGAGATTTGTGGTTCATTTCTCTTTCTCTTTTGTGTTCTTTATGTATTGAGTTTGTATATGTATTTACTTTGAACTCATGTATATTTGTCGCCCATGGCGTTATATTAAACTTGCTTTATAAATCTTTATCGATTATTGTCTTGGATTTTTGCTCTATGTTAGGGATTTGAGTTGTTATAAACATATACTGTTTAGATTCTTATCTAGGATGATTATTTGTTAGTTTCTGAACTCTAGAGATAGATTTAGAGTTGACATCTACTTGGATATCTGAGCTTAATGTCTCTGTGTGGTTGTGTTGTGCTGAGAGATCGTCAGTGCGATTACATAGTTGTCTTCTGTGTTGTTGAGGAGGTAGAGAGATCATTTCCTTGGTGATACAGTCGGTCTCTCAATTTGGGTTAGAAATGACTTAGGTTGTGAGTGATACGTAGTGACATTGATGAGTATTGTTAGATTGAATGTAAATGGTCGGTAGATTTAAGTCTGTAATGAGTGGAGTATATGCAAGCTTGATAAGTTATTCCCGAGTTTTTACTTTTGCTTACATTTATTTTTTGTTGATAACATTTTCTTTACAAACCCATTTATCCCCAAACTCATTAGCGAGAGATTTTTCGAACGACAATTCAATAACCAATCTCTGTGGACACGATAAATTCCCGGATTAATATTTCCAAAACTTTTGTTGCTTGTCGTTATACCGCTTCCAACATTGCTGCTTTGTGATTTGATTCCATTGTGATTTGTGATTCAGCTGTCACAAATTCTAGCTTGATGTCTTTCTCATTGTTATTTCTTGTGTATAGAGAGTTACAAGGCTATACAGGTAATTACACTAAATAATTACATTTAATGAGAACAAATCAATTTCTGTTTGGGGAAATTCAAGTTCAGCCAAAAGACGACGAAGCCAAAGTATTTATGAACAAGCCGCAAACATCGCACGATACTCTGATCCAGTGGAAGGTTTAGAAATTTTTGCTTGCTTCTTACTTTTCCAATAGATCAATAAAGAATCAAGAAACATGCACCAACCAGTGACAAATCGGCAAGTATCAGGACACCCTGCTCAATCGACATCACTATAAGCACTCAATTGAAGAGTAATTCCAACGGGAAAGAATAATCCACGGGGAAAGGTTCCCTTCACTGTGGTCGACGAGGACGGGGAGCCCTGTTTGGACGCCGAGGGTAATCCCGAGGTCGGGCAGATTTCCAAGTTCCCTATTCATTGGTGCTCGGCTCATTACGACCATGGTCTCGGGTACTACCATACTCCTGCTGGGGGTATGAGTGTCGAGGATGAGGAGGCTTACGGCGTCCTAAACAAGTTCGTTGATGGCTTCTTTCCTGCCCGGTGGGTCACCAGGGAAGGGGACAACATTCTCGACGAAGACGAATATCCGATGTTCGAGGTGCGGCCTATTAATACCAAGGCGCTCTTCGAATTCCAATCCTACGGGCAGGCCGTAGATCTCCTAGGTTTATTGCTTTGCTCTTATTGTTATTCCTTTTTTATCGCATTTAGTCGTGTGTAGCTAACCCTGATTCGCTTCATTTGTAGGTCACATGGAGGAGCGACATGAAAGGTTGCTAAAGTTGACTCAGGACAAGATAAATAAGAGACTGGTGAGACCGCAGCAGGCCACGTGGATGGGCCCGCCTGCTGACTCGGGCAGAGAAGGATCCAGTGGGTCCTCGGGTTCATCAGACGCCGAGCGCCAAACTGCGCTGGTCAGCAGGAAGAGGAGTCGGCCAGAGGGTGGAGCAGAAGCGACTGATGAGCCTGTTTTTGTCCAGGATTTTGGCTTATCGCCCTGCTTTTTGGAGAAGGACTTCTTTGAGGGGTTTCCGCTGACCGTGTCCGACAACGAAGCCGACATCATTAAGCGGCTCGACAAGGAAGGTCGAAGGAAACACCTCGCTTCTAGCATGGTCGGAGTGGTGAAAATGGACGAGATGGTTGTGGTCCTTGTAGGGGAAGGATCAGATTTTATGGACCGGGTTAGGGAGCTGGAATCGGAGAAGGCGGCTCTTGCGGCCAAGTCTCACAAGTTGAAAGCAACCTTCGAACAGTTCGAGGAGATGTTCCGTGAACAGGCTGACTTGCTGTCAGGGGAGAAGGAGAAGGCCAACAAGGCCCTTGCGGAGAGGGATTGCCTCCAACTCGACAAGGAACGAATGGAGAGCGACAACCAACGGTTGTCGAGGGAGATTGAGGAGCTGAAAGATGCTATGCTTCCCGTCGAGGATAAGCCAGAGGAGATAGCCGCTTTGCGTACGCGCTAGGATCTTGTTGCTCGCATCCACCTCCTCGAGTCAACTGTCCGTGCTGAATCCGAGCTTGAACACCGAAGGGGTTGGAGTTCTCTCCCAGATTATCGATGGCCAGGTAGTGCCTCCTCCCGATTCTCCTGATGTGTTCGTCAACTTTCCAGAGAATGATTTACTTTTTGTTATTGTTTGGGTCTACGCGCCCGTATATTGCTTTGTTTTTTGGGGGCCTGCGTGCCCGTGTTAGTTTCGGGGCCTGCGTGCCCATGTCTTTCTTAATTTCTTTGGGCCTTCGTTCCCTGGATTGTAATCTTGAACACCGTCGGCCTTCGTGGTCGGTACCTCATTAATCCGTTTTATGATTGCTTTTTCAAAAGATGCTTTTGTTTGCAATTACCTGCTAGTATCTAGGTATATGCTCGATTGTTATTTTTATAACGAATATTTGATAAGGTTTATGCTCGAGCGGAGATACTCTTTCGACCCTCGTGATGGTTCGACACATTTCGAAATGTGTCGATTGTGCGGAGTAGAGTCCGCATGTCGGGCGTATGACCTAGATCGGGGTCCGACACTCGTGGCGTGAACTGCCCATCGCGAGATGGGTGTTCTTCCATGTGGGTACTTTTGACAGTGGAGCTCGATCGAGGTGTCCCTGCCGGGCATTAGTGTTCTACTCATTGGGTGAGCGACGGTGTGCCCTCGGTGGCCGGTAGGTCAGGCTCGTACCTTGACCCGCCTACATGGTCGATACTTTCTCCTTGTTGGCTAAGGGTGAATGTTCGACGGCCAAAGTCCACAGTGGTTGAGGGCTTTAACTATAGTACTGTTTCAGCTTTGCAGCATTCTAGGGTCGTGGTAGTGGTTCTCCATTTAACTGCTCGAGATAATATGCTCGGGTGCGTGTAGCGCCCTGGACGCAGTAAGGTCCTTCCCAGTTTGCGGCCAATTTCCCTTCGTAGGAATCCTTCTGGTTTCTCCGCAAGACTAGGCTGCCGACCTAGAACTCGCGTCTGATGACCTTGTCATCGTGACACAGGGCTACTCGTTGTTTCAAAGTGGCCTCGCGCAGGGCTGCCCCCGATCGGATTTCCTCGACCAGGTCAAGCTCATCCCTCAGGGCCTCATCGTTCATTTCTTCGTCAAGAAGCATCTCTGTCCTCCTGGAGGGTTCCCTGATCTCTACGGGGCTGACGGCCTTGGTGCCATATGTTAGTCGAAACGGGGTCTCGCCCGTCGTCGAATGGGGTGTGGTGCGGTAAGCCCATAGGACGCTATGTAGTTCCTCGACCCACCCCCTTTTTGCTTCGCCTAGTCTGCGCTTAAGTCCCTGCAGGATAACTCTATTGGCGGCCTCGGCTTGCTCGTTGGTTTGGGGATGCTCGACTGAGGTGAAATGTTGTTTGGTACCGAGTTTGGCGATGAAGCTTCGGAAGCTTTGGTCAGTGAATTGGGTACCTTTATCTGTGACCAACGCCTGCGGGATTCCAAATCGGGCG